GACTAGTCCACTGGCCAGGGTCAGGGACTAGTCCACTGGCCAGGGTCAGGGACTAGCCCCCCTGAGCAGATGATACATTTGACCTGTGACCTGGAGAGGGGAGGGGGGCAAGTGTAATGTCAAGCTGCACCCCAGTCCCTGCTCACAGGGGCTCCGTGGGCTTCCATCCGGGCCTTCAGGCCTAGAAGAGTGGAACCTGGATGCCCAGTCCTGCGACACAGGTGTTGAGGGGGAGGGAAGGTTCGTGTCCTTCCCAGGGCCCAGCCCAGCTTCTGACCCCCATTGAGGCAGTCCAGCGCCCCGACACCTCTGAACTGCGTCCCTGTGTTGCTGACCCTGGCTTGTTCTTGCAGGTGGCCATGGGCTATTCACACTCCTTGGTGATAGCCCGAGATGAGAGTGAAGCCGAGAAAGAGAAGCTCAAACGGCTGCCCGAGTACACCCCACGCACCCTCTGAGGCAGGGTGGCACCCCCCGTGGCAGCTGTCGTTTTCACGTGCACTGGGACCTGAAGTCAGACAAGGAATTTAGGAAGCAAAAGTTGACCGAAGGTGCACTGGGTCAGCCTCCCTGCGGTTCCATCTCCAAGGAGTCAACATTAACTACCTTTTTCTGTATGCTTTCCAAAGTGGTTTTCCCTCATTGTTTATTAAAACATTTGCTCATAGCCAGCTTGCCTCTCTGCAAGACAGGCAGGAACTCTGAGCAATTTAGGGTTTTTTTTTTTTTTTTTTCTTCCAAGTTGTATTTCTCTTTTCGCCCTCCTGAGTATCCTTGTCCAGCCCTTCCATTCCAGCCATAATTAGCATTGTGATCCGAGTGGGTGCCACGTGGGAGAGAAATAGCCACTTTCCCAGACAGAAACGGCCCTTCCAGGAACCAGCAGCCTCTAGGCCAAGAACTCCCCAGTGGTGGGTCTCCACCCAGACTCCCTGCCCGCCTGCCTGCTTTGGGAGACCTGGTCACCTGCTTGCGGGCCCTCCCGCCTGCCCTCACCTCTCCCCATAGCTGTTGCTGGCCTGCTGTCTGCAAGGCCCACTGCCTTTTGGCTGAAGCATTTGTGGAACCAGCCATTTCCCCCCTGGTAGGGGCTCTAGGGTCTGTGTTTAGCTCTCAAGTCCAAATGAGAATTGGGGACCATGGGATGTGGGGGTGGGCGAGGTGGGGAACCTTTGTGTTGTTGAAGGGCCTGGTTTTATGGCTCCCCGTGGAGCCCAGGCCGAGCTTCCAGTTAGAGACCAGCCAGCAGTCAAGTGTGTTCTCAGTCTCCTGTGACCCACTGTTACCACCTGCGTGCTTGGCCTGTCTGCTCCTGCCGTCCCCTCTGCCTGGGATGGCCACCCTGTCCTGAGACTTGGTCATTCCTCTGCTGGTCCCAATGCTCTTGGGACGCTCGCATTTGCTTGGCTCTGGTACCAAATAGTTGGGATTCCTGCCGAAATCCCCTGTCCCGCGTGTCAGCGCAGATGCTGTGACTGCCGCCCACATCCCCACAAGTGCCCTCTGCCCGAGCCCGTCCTGGTATTGACTTTGCGGCTGAGTTCCGAGGTGCCTTTCCCGGATCCCTCCTCACTGGACCCGAGTGTGGTGGCAGCTCGGGCTGGGGCCCCTGGTTTCCAGAGGGTCTGGGCTGTTTCGGCTGCTTTAACTAGGTTTAGTTCAGTGGTGCTCTGGGGGAGATGGGGAGAAGGATTGAAGTGTGAGGCTGGATGAATGGGAAAGTTAATTCTGGTCTTCAAATTTATGGTTTCGCTTTTGCTATTGTGACGCTTGTTACTGTCTCTGTGTTAAAATGCCAAAAATGGTCTAGTCGATGCTTTCCTCCTGCCCCAGCACACTCCAGCAGCT